TTTATACTCAGGTAAAGGAGAAAATCCCTGGAAATATTCATTTGGGGGGGGGGGTCACGAGACTTGACACTTCAGTGAAAGGGGTTCACAGGTTGTTAAAGTTTGGGAACCACTGGTCTGGGGTATCAAAATGAAGAAAAAATATGCTTGGGATGTGAGAGCCACTGGTTGCCTACTTGATACTAACTTCATTTCATCAGGGTGGAACTGACTAGTTGTCTAGATGTGTAACTTTAGCTCCCAGCTACACCCCTATCAGCTACCAATGATTCCCTCTTCTGGCTTACTCTCTTGACCCCACTGTAACTCTCAGTGATCCCTAATGCTTTACTCATGTATCATTTTTTTCCCTCATACCCTACTTGCTTCTAATGTGAGACCTCTTTCTTCCCTTTCTCTCCCACCAGAAATTTAGTTTGCTTGCTTTCTAACAACACCCAGTTTTTTCCTTTCTTACCTTCAAAACATGTCTTCCTTTGAAAACCCTTTTCTTTTTCCCCTTGACAGACCCGTGATGGGCAACAATAGCATATGTCCCTTGCTTCTCATATTTATCTCCAGGCTTCTTCTCCTTGTCCAGATCTATTCCGCCCCCAACAATCTTCTGTTCATTGAACTTTTTGAAACTTTGCACTTTTAGAGAGAGGTAAGGGATTGACTGTGTGTATGCAAATTTGCAGAGGGACAATAGAGTTGAGGTCTGTTATTTCTCACCTCTATATATTATTTATTTATTTAAAACCATTTTTGCTGTTAACAAGCATGTTACCTCAGGAGAGACAAATCCACAGTCTGAGAACTGCAAGACTAAGCATCTCTGATGGTATCTTCTAGACTGAACACTGACTCCCATTGGGTAGATAGAAAGATTAACCTAAATAATCTATACAGAAGCCTGTGGAACCCCATAAGATTGGGTCCCTAATCCATGAACTATTGAAACTCATTTACAAAACTTTTCTTAAACATTACATGAATATATTGTTTCATACTGCACCTCTACCCCGATATAACGCGACCCGATATAACACGAATTCAGATATAACGTGGTAAAGCAGTGCTCTGGGGGGCAGGGCTGCACGCTCCGGCGGATCAGTGCATCAGCGTGTCTGGGTTGGATAAGGGGCAGAGGGCCTCCGGGGGCGGTCAGGGAGCGGGGGGGTTGGATGGTTTAGAGGTTCTGGGGGGTGGGGTGGTCAGGGGACAGGGAATGGAGGCGTTGGATAGGGCATAAGAGTCCTGGGGGTGATTAGGGACGGGGGGGCGGTCTCTGGAGGGGACGGTCAGGGGACAAGGAGCAGTGGGGCTTAGATAGTGAGTGGGGTCTTCGGAGGGGTGGTTAGGTACAGGGTCTCTGGAGGAGATAGTCAGGGGACAAGGAGCGGAGGGGGTTGGATGAGTCGGGAGTTGGGA